GTCGACTGGTTTTGGTCCGAAAAGGCTGCAATACAGCGTTCGGCCCTTACCGGTATTCCCAATCGAACACGGTTGAGTAAGCGGTCACATCAAGGTTCAACTCAAAAGTTCAAAGCAGGGAGTCGTCAGAGGCTTTTACGACTCCCTGGTTCAAAGCTTCAACTCGAGTGACATAAACGGGCCCAAACAGGCTGTAAATGAGCACTTGACCGCTTACTCAACCGTGTTCGATTGGGAATAAGGGCCGAACGCTGCATCGCAGCCTTTTCAGACCCAAACCAGTCAACTCAGCGTCCAAAAGACTACAACATTTAGGGTATACTTCCCCTTTAAGGAGTACTGAGACATTCCACGGCATGAAAGTAAGCTTGAGCACTCCTCGATAGCGACATCTGGGAATTTCATGAAGCCAAACATGAGAATTTCATTGAATCCGAAATAAATCCGGGCAAGTGACAGTGAAACCGCTACAGAATGTATGTGCTTGAGCTGCTCATCTGATGCTCAAACTCTCATGTTTTGCTGACTTTGACATGCTCGACTAGAGTCCATGTCCTGGGTTGCAGTTTGATGGAGTAGCCAGGAAATCTGGACTTCCCTCTGTTTCCGTAAATTTGATTGATGTGTGTGTGTGTGTGCGTGCGTGTGTGCGTGCGTGCGTGCGCGTGTGTGTGTGCGTGCGTGTGTGTGTGTGTGTGTGTGTGTGTGTGTGTGTGTGTGTGTGTGCGTGCGTGCGTGTGTGTGTGTGTACGTGTATTTGTACAACCCTATCCATCATGTACAGGCTAACAGCGGTACTAACCAATGGTTCCGTACGTACATGTGGGGCGTCCTTTACTTACGGTAAGTTTCCGACAGCCATGCATGCAGTGCCAAGCACTGCTTTTAAACGTCGTGCTGTCTGAAATCCAGGGTAATTGTGCCATACTTCGCTTTTTGCCCCCCCCCCCCCCTGCTTTGCTTTCTAGGTGTGCTTTTTTTAAAACTCTGTGTACTTTTTCTATGGTGTTGTTGCACCCCTCTGCAGAAATATGATGCCACCTGTGTGGTACGATACCGAGGTCAAGCTGTTTGAGGTGCAGCGAGTATGAAAGCGCGCGCCGCACAGTGTTGGCGAGAGTTGATCATCACACCTCTGCCGTCTGTGGACCGCGCAAACACATTCCATGCCAGCGATATCCGGCTCGGCTTCTGTACCATTGAAACTGCCTATTTCCGATTGATTTGCCGCCATCCTGTTTTTATAGATGTTGGCCTGTTGCTCCTGAACATGAGGGTGCGATTTGCCATCAGCTCCGTGTGCCTCCTGCCTGGTTAACTTTCTGGTGATAGTGTGTCCTGGGGCTCAGAGGTCCCCGCTGACGGGAGTTATACGCCGTCGCTGTCGCTGCACTGTGCTGTCTCATCGGCGTCTCTCGTGTGGATAAGCTGCGCTCGCTTGCTGTTGCTGTGACATGTGTACGCACATGTGCCGTTGTGGGTATACATACACACACGTGTGTGTCCACGACCATTTATGTTTGCGTATGTGCGTGTGTACGTGCACGTGTGTTTTCATTGCCCTCCACGTATTGCATCGAGTATTTGATCTCCCGCCATTCACCCTGTCGTGCACGTCCTGCAGGGATGCCAGCCTCGATAGCGACATGTCTGCATTTCATCTCCCGTTTTACTGGGAGTAACTCCTGTACTCCCTCCGCCCTGCTAGCAGTATTTCTAGTGCACCCGAAGTTTTGTTTTTATACCGCAATGGGCCAGCTGTCTAGGTTTCTTCGCTGGTCATGACCGCTAATTGGCATTGGCTATCTTCGTATCTATCTTCTCCTTGCCAATCCGAGTTTCCATTGATTTGTTTTGTTTCTCGCTGTTGCTGTTGTTCAGTTGACTCCTTAGCGCTGTGCGCGGTTATCCGCATCATGTGCTGTGCTATGTTGAGAGCCTTGCCTGTCACTGTCACCCGCCACCGGAGTTCTCGCCATGTTATAGTTTTCTCCCCCCCCCCCCCACCCCCCCCCCCCAGCCTCGTTTTAGCCATCTCACTGCTTTCATGCTCTCCCCGCTGTCTCGGCCTTTCTATTGCCGTCCGCCCTTCGTTCAGTCTCGTTCTGTTCAAAGGGTCTTTATCGTTCCATTGCCTCCAGTGCCGTTCTGTTTCGCCTCATTTCAATAGTGTCCATCTTCTCCTGCAAGTTGTGAGCTGAGCCTGTGTGTGAACTGTGAAGGATACTGCTGTGGCTGCGTTTGGATCGTCACCCTAACCTCTCCTTTCCCTGTTGCTGTCCCTGCCTCCGTTCCTGCCTCTGTCCCTACCTCTGTCCCTACCTTCGTTTTTTGCGCTTCCGTTCCTGTATCCGTCCCTCCTCTTCTTGTCCCGGTCTTCCACAGTGCGGGAAAGACAACACTAGAGGCATGCATCCTCGCCACACATGGTACGCTCATTGTTATCCCTCCTGTCAATACGGCACTGTCTATTTGCAGTCCTTCCATTTTTGTCATCATTCCCCTCCGCAATCCGCGGCTCGGCTCAGCATTCCCAGGTTTTATTTTCTGGATTTCTCGTATTCTTGTAACACTCCAGATTCTTGTCCGATCTGTTCACTCGAAGACCAGTACATAGCGTTGCTCGAAAAAAGAACCGACTTATGTCCGGAGCCTGTTAATATGTACCCTTCTTGCCTGGCCCCTTCGGTGTGGAGCCTGTGCACGTATGGCATGTGTGTGTGCCGGTGTGTGTATGTGTGTGGGGGGGGGGGGGGGTAACATAATACTAACATTACTTACCCTGTACCAGGAGTCCATGATCCTCCGGGGGATTACGGACTCTTAGCGGTACTTGTAACCAGGGAGTAGTACAATACCCGGTATTGTGCTACTCCCTGCTTGTAACACGAGGGCCGACATTATGTGGCTTGGATTGGAGGGATCGAAATTTGGGAAAATAATTGAGTACAGTGTACTAGTAAGTTTGTGCATGCATGATTCCTGATCTGGCTGCTGCTCACCAGCATAGCTAGCTAGCTAGCACTAGCGTATCATAGTACTTGAAAGTAATAATAATACTAATCAAGGGTACATGACTGTATACAGTGTACACTGCTGTCTCATGATCAGCATTCAGGCAGTACACAATTTTAACATTGGCTACTTTAATTTATAATGATCAAGACTGTGGTTTCACGATGTACTCTTGCTGATACTAGTACTAAAAATAAAATAGTAGTAATACAGGGCCAGGGAGTCCCTGATCAGGCTGAGGCCTTGATGGACATGCATCACTCGTGCATCGGGGAGTACAAAAGGCAAGCATCAGCTCAGGCTCAAGGAGCATGAGCTGACATGATGCCGGCTTGCCTTGTACAATCATAGATCTACATCATACATGGCCCTATGTTTTGATGCCCCATATCATACCAACTCTTGCTTGGTAAAACAGCATTGCCATTGGTGATGAATCGAATGGTCACATTGGTCAGCGGCATTACGTCACTTTACCAAAAATAGTAGAGTGATGTAACCGCCGACAAGATGGCCGTAAGAGTGCGTCATCGATCATGCAAACGTTTTTGAAACGTTTTCTCCATCATGTCAGTGCAGTGCCAGTGGGCTGCATAGACCACTTTCACAAAGTGCACGTGACCTGACGCCCACGGCGCAGCGTAAGGCAAAAGACTCGGGTTTTTGTGCTGTTTGCACATCATTTTGTATTGAGAACAATTGCTATCGTTGACATTTCCTTTCTCTCCCCGACATGGCATCCCTCAAGGAGCTTGTCGAGGCAGTGCAGTCTCAACAGGGTGATGTCGACAAGTTGAGGAAACGCTTGGAGTCAGCAAACGTGCCTGTGCTGAAGGAGCTGTGCAGACATTTCAAAATTGTCCACAGCAATAAGAGGAAAACTGAGTTGGTGGAGACCCTTGTTGGACTTGCTGAGACGTCTTCTGCAGCCTCAGCGCCGCCACATGTTGCGCCAGAAGCGTCCGCGAAAACAGTGGAGATCACGGCAGAATTGGAAGCCTTGCCAACGTATGATTCTGTCTCGTGTTGGGTACACGATTTCCTTATTGATAATTTTATTTACGGGGACATATACACGTACCTCGTGGAAGTGAGGGACAAATCCTCGTCTGACCGTCAGCGCAGCAACTTCAAGTCACTGAAAGGCTATAGCTATTTCACCAGCGGGTGGGTTTCCAATGTGTGGATGTGCTGCCCTGATCCCGTGAAGCCCCAGTACATCTATGCTAGAGGGCATGTGCACCAGTCTTATCCGTCACGGGAGAAATCGGCCTACCCAGTTTTTATTACTATGTCGCCTCAAGGGGCTGTGTATAGTGCCAGGTGCAAGTGTGCTGCTGGACTGGGTGAGAGCTGCAGTCATGTCGCCGCGCTCCTGTTCTACCTCCTGGACTGTAAGGAGAAAGACGCCACAACAATACAGGCAGACGCAACATGCACTGGACGCTTGATGTCGTGGCATCGTCCTCCACCCCAGCTATCGGTACCTGCTGTCCCGTTGGCGGACGCTGTGTTTGAGGCCACTGCCTATGGCAAGGAATCCCGCAAGGTCTGTGGAGGTTCTCTGTCCACCTTTGAACCGAGAGCTGCTCAAGACCTTGCTGTGGACGACCATTGTGTCCAGGAATTACTGGATACATTTGCATCAAAGCTGCCAACATCTGGCTTGTTCCAATTCTGGAACCACCCATCTTTGGCCAAGAAGCATGCTATGCACACTTTGGATAAGCAGGCTAAGCAGTTGGTTATTTCACGACACCCTAGGACAGATCAGTTCAGTGATGACCTGGATGAGGATGTTGTTGTGGCGATGTGCACTGATCTTGCTAATGATAGCTCCATTGACAGCAGCCTGGCCTCCTATATCGAGAGTGTCACGAAGAAGCAGTCAAGATCGCCACTTTGGCGTGACATTCGGGTTGGCCGCATCACTTCCTCTATTTTTCATGTCATCGTAAACCGTAGGGAGACTACATCCCCAGACAGCTTGGTGAAGACGATCATGGGTTACTCCAACATGCCGAAGACAACGGCTATGCAATGGGGTATTATGCATGAAGCAAAGGCCGTGGAGGACTACTTGCGACTTGTGAATTTTGGTTTTGAGTCAGATATTGCTGTACGTCACACGCCATCAGGTGTTACTCTCTATCAAGAGTACTCCTTCATCGGTGCTTCTTCCGATGGACTGCTGTACGATCCTGCTTCGTCTGATCCGCATGGCCTAATTGAGGTGAAATGTCCCTTTTCAATTGATGGCGTGTCCATTAACAAGATGTCTCCCGCGGCCATCTGCAACCAGTTTGGGCATAAGTTTTGCTTGACTAGAAGCGACGGAGGCAAGTTGCTATTGCGAAGAACTCACAAGTTCTACACGCAGGTGCAGGGAGAATTGGCCGTGATGGACAAGGAGTGGGCAGACTTCGTCATGTGGACCGACGCGCCTTATCCCACCAATCTTCACATTGAGAGGATATTTCGTGACAGTGTACTGTGGAATGATACTTTGCTACCGAAGTTGAAAGCTTTCTACATCAGCCATGTCTTACCAGAGATCCACTCCAGGAAGCTGTTCGCTGAACATCAGAAGTCAACAGCTGCTGCAATGTTATCGCCAGTATCATTGCCTGCTGCAATGCCCTCGCTGGCTATGCCTATCGCTGTGCCGTCACCTGCTGCAGTGTCGTCAGTTGCTGCAGTGCCGTCACCTGCTGCAGTGTCGTCACCTGCTGCTGTGCCAACACCTGCTGCAGTGCCGTCACTTGCTGCAGTGTCGTCACTTGCTGCAGTGTCGTCACCTTCAGCACCATTGCCTGTTGCGGGTCGGTCACCTGCTTTGTCTCAGAAGTTGGCACCTCGTATTGCATGTTGCTCTCAAACGTGTGCGTTCCCTGGGCTTAAACCAAAGGCATGTCGTAACAGCCACTGCGCACATTATTTTCATCATATATGCACAACTGATGATATGGGGAACTACTGTATGCATTGCTTTGTCGATACCGATGATCTGTAGGAAGATCTTAGACTGGTTGAACAGTATTGGTACGGACTCTTGTGAAACCTGCGATGCCCGCATCACGCCTTTTATCCTTTTTCAATTAATGTTTTGCTGTTTCCCACACGAGAACACACTTTTCTTGTTGTAGTTTAAATCTTTAATTCGGTTGAACTGTTTCGGCACCTGATGCAGTGCTGCGGTGCCAACCTGCTATGTCCATGCCAATTCCTCATGTCATTAGAGTTCTTTTTGTTTCACGGAGAAGGCAGAGAGCCCGAACGTGCCGGGTTTAATAAAAAAGAAAGAATAAAATTAGAGGTGAGTGTCTGTTATCCGGCACCCTCAAGCTCAGGACTGGACAATGGACACTGTTTGATAATCTGGATGACTGAAACTACATAGCCATCTTGTGTTCACACATCAAAAGGACTGTAGAGAGTGTCTTTTGCCTGTATTTTGCATGCTCTGTTACTATCCTGAGACACTGGTCGTGTTCAACTATAGACTCACTTGTATGCGACCGCAACGATGTTCAATGTCTTGATTCTTGAAGTATATGGGGACAGTGATCATAATAATTATACAGTGTGTGAGCCAGCACTGCGTTGTTTGACAACTGACATGGTGGATGATGGACCACCGGATAAATGACATGCAACTGTATACTAAGAAAAAGGAAATCATGAACCACATATTCACTGGCGGAGGGAATGGAAAAGGGATCACAGCGTTAATTAATGAAGAACCCTACACCACCACAAACGCAAATGCCAAGTAACGTTAGTCTCTTCGCTGCAAACCAGTTTAATTTCAATGAGATTTGGGCCAGAAGCCATCATCAGGATGGAGTCGAAAACTGGTGAAGTGGATCAAACAAAACAAAATGAAATGCTTTTCGACATACGCGATGAAAGTACAAGTACAACATCATTGAATGATGCCTCTTTCACACACTCAGGCACACACACACACACAAACACACACACACACACACACATGCCCCCCCCCCCCCGCACACACACACACTCATGCACACACAGGTGTGAATAACGAATGAAGAAGCCAAGAAACAAACAAACTAACAATACACCACGACTTGCAGTGTCACAATGTGAAAGAGCTGTGTGCTCAGCAGTACCGCTGCTGGCAAAATTGAAAATGTAATGAAGCACTGGTGACTGACAATGGTGCGAACCTCAGTGCTCATCTGCGACCAGAGGATCAGAAAAATTTGTGACGAGAGTGCAGACTGTGACGATGTCATTAGCAATAGGGGCAAGTGTGATGGGGAGTGTCCCGCGTAAAATCCGGAAACACCGAAGACGGGCAATTGCTCGTTCAACGTGAATACGAAGGGCAGCAATTCTGCGTGTATCGTCCACTTCCTGGGCAGTGAACTGGCTTCGTTGTTGGCCCAGGAATGGTGGGATGTTGAGAGTGGCACGTTTAGGCAGGAGAAGATCCCGAATTTCGAAGCCTTTGTCCGCCATTACATTATCACCATGCTCGATCAGATCAAGAAAGCCACTGTGAGACACAATGAACTTGTCTGACGCACGTCCAGTGAACAACTTGGATAGATATGTGACAACGCCACCAGGGCTGATGCCAATCAGAGCTTTGAACGTCGAGTGGTTCTTGTAGTGAGAGAACATCTGGCAGTTCACACGGAGAGCAGATGGACGCTCAATAAATAGTTCAAAGCAGTCAATTATTACTCTAGTGTTAGGATACTTTGCAAATTGTGGTGGGGTGTGGAAGCGAACCTGCTCAGCAGATGGCCAGGGAAAGAGTAAAGCCAACTCCTTCGACAAGAACACTATCCACGTTGTGAAGATCTTCGAGAAGTAGGTGGCAGAAATGCCGAACCGGAAGCAAACATCTTCCACCAGCAATCCTAGCCTCAGCCGCATCATGACAGCCAGAAACTCATCTACTAACTCCAGCTGCCTACTAGCATACTGCATCGTTAGCCGACCTGTCACACCTGTTGCGGAACGAAGCGCTTCTTCTTTCTGACCGCGCCAGATATGGAGGCGCCCAGCTTTCCCAGACAGGTAATGGAAGAAGGAAATGAAGGCGGCGTACGAAGGGAAACCAGTGTTGAAACGAACCAGTTTATCCTTGCCTTCAAGGTCATGTGCCGAGATAGACTGCTTGCGGCTGGCTGCTGCTCTGTAGGTGTCCAGCTCACTGGTTACCTCACAAGCGTGTGTCTCCAATTGGTGGACACGGAACTCCAAATGCCGGATACGTGCCGCAAGCCCATCAGTGGTCTCCGGCAATGGGGCATGAATTACAGGACCTTTATCAGCACTGACAGGTTCAGATTGAGGTAATTCCTCTGGTTGAGCAGCAAAAGCAGCAGCAGCTTCATCCGGCTGATCTCCCTTCCTCTGTTCCCTTCGGAATTGTCGCTTTTTTCTGGCATCAGCTTGAACAGCTCGCTCTTCAGTTTTGGGCTTGCTATCCACAATTGTCGGGATGTAGTCCACGTCATGTGGAGAGTCGGAGGGTTCTTCAGTCAAAAAATGCTTCCCGCAAATGCGCATACCATCGGATGGCCACCAGCCAACTGGACGACGATGGCAAACTGAAGCTATCCACATCTGACATCGTTCTCGATCTGATTTTGGAAATCTAAAAAAGCGGTAAGGACAGTCTGCTGAAGCACGATTTGCACAGCTGTCCGCAGCGCAGGACGACGGCATGGTTGGTAACACCGAGGAAATAATTCCAAACACCTACACGGCCTTCAAAACGATGAGAGAAACAATACAATATCCACAAACAACTAAATTCTAATAGCTTTCAGTACAGAAACAGTGCATCTTTTGAATTCTTTTGCCTTACGCTGCGCCGTGGGCGTCAGGTCACGTGCACATTGTGAGAAAGGTCTATGCAGCCTTTTTCTGTGGCGGCTGCCCCTGTTCTGACCCTTTTGCCAGTTCTTCGTCGGAGAGAACTGGTCGCAATTGTTCTGCTCTCCTCCCCCACCGGTACCCCGTCGCGGTGTCCCATTGGCATTGGCATTGGTGTGCCACAGGATATGAAAAAGTGTGAAAGATTATAAGTGGTGGTGATAGGAAGTTCAAATTAGTAATGAACAGCAAGATGTGGAACACGGGCGCGGAGCAGAATTTCTCTCAGCTTATTGCCGATCTCAGTTCGACACCGTGGGTCAACAACACGAGCGATTTGAGTTCGGATAGTTTAGAGCTGGACAACTTGTTGTCGCAGGTAGCCACCGCCGCCACGCCTGCGGACACAGACGGGAACTTACTGCTCGGTGACGATTTTATCCAGGAACTACGAAACGTACCTGCGCCACCTGGATGTATGACGAGCGGAGCCCAGGGCCACGAGCCCCAGCCGGGAATGTCCGTTCCTCCGTCACCGGGAGCATGGAGCAGCATATCCGCGTGCTCCACGCCTGGCCCCGACAATTCTGCGGCGGCGCTTGGACAAACAGCACGGAAGCCGCGCTCCCAGAATGCTGCTGCGTTGGCCGCAAAGGCCAATCGCGAGAAGCGGAAGTTCTACGTAGAGCAGATGGAGACGCAGCTGAAGGCGGCGCAGTCACGTGCACAGCAGCTTGAGGCCCAGGTCGAGCCACTGAAGAAGCGCGTGTGCCATCTGAGCAGGGAGGTGGCGTATTTAAGGGGCGTAGTCCGGAACGACTCCTCCATCAGCACCGTGCTGAAGAGCTTGCCAGAGGTGAAAACGTTCGGGCTCATCTGCCCTGAAACGATGCTTGCTGGCCATGAGGACATAACTTATGATGACAAGAAGACAACGAGAGCTTCATCACCTGGCATGGCCGCCTCCACCACCACCAGCGGCAGCAGCAGCGGCAGCAGTACTGTCTCCAACAAGAATACGTCGGGAGTGGCCAGCAAGATCGACACCGGCAGCAGCTCCGCAACAGATTCTGACAGCGACAGCAACAGCAGCGTGAAGCTGAACGTGGCGTCGTCCAGTGGTGTGTGTGTCCACGTGGCTCAGGGCGACGTGTCGGTACGCTTCTGCTCAGCCTGCGCACAGCTCTGAACGCACACAGGTGGACGGACACACGGACGCGTCGAGTCTGCGTACAGTCCCATCACCAGGTTGTATTGATCCACATTGTTCATGGTATTGTGCGCGTGTGTGCATGTCCGTGTGTGTCCGCGTGTGTGTGTCTGATTTAGATTAGTTTGTTAGCAGTTTGTTTGGGCTGCGATGCTTTGCACGGTGTTGTCATAGCCCAGCCTAGCAAGTGAATACGTTTTTGTGTTAATGAGCCATGTCAAACCTTAGCTGTGCTCGTCAAAGTGCCAGGCCATTTGCCATGGAGCCTAGAGAGTGCAAAAAGCAAAAAAATCCGTCAAAAAGTCCGTCAAAAATTCCGCTTTTAGCTCATTTCCCAGATGTTCCCGATGGTCATCTCTTGATTTTCCTACTTTTTTAGTATTTTATTTTTTACTCTTTCCAATAACCCTTGACACCATTTTTCATGCTTCCTGACTCTTGACAGTTTGAGTTGTGTGTGTATCTGTGCGGTTTGGCCTGCTGCTGCTGCTGTTGCTGTTGCTGCTGCTGCTGTTGTTGTTGTTGTTGTTGTTGTTGTTGTTGTTGTTGTTGTTGTCGTCGTCATTATCGTCATCGTCGCTTCTGCTGCTGCTGCTGCTGGTGGTGGTGTGGGTTTCTCTTTTGTCTTGTTTAGGTCGATGAAGCGGAAGGTATGACCCGATTATCGGTGACGGCCCGGTGGCCCTCTTGAACCGGCCCAGCTGTATGACCCGACTTTCGGTGACGACCGCTTTCGACCTGGTACCCTTGCCGCTCGCTGTGAAGCTGCTGCCCGCTTGTAACCGTTGCTGCCTCGTACTGGTAAGATATTGGATGGAGACACTGGACTCATTGATGCACCCATTTGGATATAAGCGTTGGTTGTTCCGTGTGTAGACTGTGGCAGGTGTTTGCTGCCTGCGGACGACAGAGTCCCGTTGTTCACCTGGACAGTCTGTGTTGTATCCAATGCTGCTTTATGTGGTCTCTGCAGCAATATCGCACAAGTACTGTTGCTGCTGCTGCTGCTTCTGCTGCTGCTGTTGTTGTTGCTGCTGCTGCTGTTGTTGTTGCTGCTGCTGTTGCTGCTGCTGTTGTTGCTGCTGTTGTTGCTGCTGCTGCTGTTGTTGTTGCTGCCACTGTTGCTGCTGTTTGGCTCAGTGGGTATACCATTGTGTGCTTGCAACGGTCTGACTGTTGGCTACCGTGTTGTGTGCATTGTTGACGTGTCCCGTATGTGTGTGTCCAGTAGTAACACGGCGTGTAACGTGAGCTCCACCGCAAGATGGCCTGGTGCTCCTCCGTTGCGCTGTGCCCGGACCCCCTGCAGCAGCCGCACCCGTGTGTGCGTGCACATCGCGTCATGTGTGTTGTCACGGCGATTGTCCCGGCCCGATGCATGCACTGCCGCATGTGCATGTATGCGCCTTGTAGGCTGTAGCCACGCGGCCTTGTGAGGTAATGTGGGGAGGAGGCAGGAACCGGGTACGGGTCCGGTCTCAGGGCGGGTACTTGTGTGCGTAGTGGTGGTGCGGGGTGGGAGAAGGGCAATTTCAGTGTTTTTTTTGGGGGGGGGGGTTCTTGTGTGTGTAGTGGTGGTGGAGGGCGGGAGAAGGGCAATTTACTTGAGTGTTCTTTTCTTGGGGGGGGGGGGGGGGTTGTATCAGTGTACTTCATGTATGGTGGAATTACTAGGCATGTTTTGAAATAGCCCTTTGTGGACTGGTTGCACTTCTGTTGTTGATCATCACTTCTGGCATTGGAATGGCCATACAATGATATCAGGGATTACAAGGTTGGGTTCGCAAGCAGGACACACACCGGGCGGGGTATTGAGCAAGAAATGGTGCTGTTTGAGCGGAAATGGGGATGGGTTCCGAAGTGGCACTATGCCGAGCATTGGTAGACGACCACGGCTGAGACATGCTAGTACCGTACTTTCCGGAGTATACGCCCTGTCCCTCCAGGAACTTGCGATTCCGCGGCCGCGTTGTTTTCCGCGATTTGAACAAAAGTCCGCGATATGCGCGACATTTGAAAAATCATCCGCGATATTGTAGAGAACTGTCCTTGATACTTGAAAAGCACCGCGATATTTCGAAAGCAACCGCGATATTCGAGTCTTTCTTCGATGTTGTTTAGTTCTTCAAGCTCGTCAGTAGTTTACTTGTGAGATCGACACCAGAAAGGAGAAGTTTCTGGGCAAATCAGCGGCTGACTAGTCCAAAAATAAGGCTCGAGTCGAGTGTTGTCCAAGGATAGAGGAAAGCTGTCTTGCAAGCTCCTGTCGACATGTCAGGCAGTTGTACACAGTCGCAATCGAGTACAGCGCAGCACACGTGCATTTATGCTGTACATCGCACCGCACTACACTTCAAGTACATGTACCAAAATCGGCCGCAATTTCCGCAATTTTACCACAATAATCCCGCAATATTTGACAATATCCGCAATATTCCCCGCAATTTGTGGCTTTTTATCTCGCAACTTTTTCCGCGATATTTCCGAAATGTCTCCGCAAGTTTCTGGAGGGACAGTATACGCCGCACTGGAGTATAAGCCGCAATCCCCATTTTTTCTCCACGAAATACACACATCTACTCTATTTATGAAATGTGATTCTTCAAAGTGCGGCTTTAAGATACACTCTGGAAATGCGGTACACAGTTTCAGTTTTCAGCCATAACGAAGTGCTAATTCCACTATACGTAATCGATACATGTACTGTTGCTATTGAGCGTTGAGAATGAGCAAGAATCGTTGCCTTTGGTACACGTAAACCAGTCAATTTTAGGAAATCGTTCTACATGCGCCTCGTTAGAATGATGGCTTTTACAGTACAGTGGCAGGGTCCATGTGTATGCTGGTACTGTCGTGGTCATGGAAATCCAGTCGATTGACCGGGGCCGGCGCGTACAGAACGTGGTCCATGTGTATGCTGGTACTGTCGTGGTCATGGAAATCCAGTCGATTGACCGGGGCCGGCGCGTACAGAACGTTGCATGCAGTGCACAATCACGTTGATCCGATGCGCCCAGCCGCGCATAATAATACATGCATGTGTATGTACTGCTTACCTACGGCTGCAAGGTCAGCGCCCTGGGGCCGTTGGACGTGCGACCGGATTGCCATGTCCACGACTGTACTATGTCCTGGTGTACGGGGAGGACTCGTACGTAGCAACATGGCTTGCCGACTTCATCACTCGGTCATCTGAAGAAATGTATTGAGTTGACTGATTGATGAAATCGGCAACCTTGTTGCTAGGCGTGCTTAAATTTTCAAACCCTAGGGGGCCGTCCGGCATTATCGATCCTTTTCGTTTTAAGTACTGCGGTCAGTGCCTTTGCATGATGGCGGACAAAAGCTCTGATTGACATTATACTAGAAATAGTTATGGTGCGTCATGGGGCGCGGTAGTATGGATTGAGGGTGTATGATGACTTGAGGGTGTGGCGGTTTGGTGTTGGAGAGGGCAGTGAGGGGAGGGTACATGGTGTGTGTGTGTAGGAGAGAGCAGTGAGGGAGTGGTTTGTTTGGAGAGGTTACATGGTCGGTGTATGCTGTGGGGGCATGGTCCGTGTGTGTGCAGGGGAGGGGCAGTGAAGTAGTTGTTTCGGGAGGGTACAATGCAATGGTCAGTGTGTGTGCATGGGGAGGGGAGGGGATGGCAGTGTTCGGTGTAGACACTAGTTGTTTCGGGGGGGGGGGGGGGTACAATGGTCCGTGTGTGTGTGTGCTGGGGGAGGAGGTGTCAGTGTAGCGGTTTGGGAGGAGAGGGATATTTAGATTTACTTTTTGGTGGGTGTTTTGTTTCGGAGTGGAATGGTGGAGGAACGTCGTGCGCACACTGGCTGCGTTCGATTATGCACTTGAATCGATTCATGAATCCATTTGCATGCATTCAAGTCGTTCGATTTTCATGTCGTGAGCCCTGGAATCGATTCGGAATCCATTCACTCTATTCACATGGTGTGATGTGAATAGCGCGAATCGATTCGTGAATCCATTCGCGTGCATAATCGCACTGTACGTACTGGATTCAGTAGAGATCATCAGTGGGCCGCTGGGTCTGGGTTAGTCTCGTCGGGATCTTGTAGAGGTTACGTGATTACAGACCGTTGAGTGGCAAACTGGGAGACCCATGTACTAAGATCCTCTGAAAGCCCTAATATGGAAGCCAGCTGAGCGGCAAAAGTGATATTTTATTGACTTCTTAGCGGCAAACGTGATATTTTATTGACTTCTGAGTGGCGAATGTACTGTGATGAGTCATTCGTGTAATCTCTAGAGATACTGTTCGGACCCCATTACAAGAGTCAGGGCAGTAGCCCCGAGGCTGTTCGTACTGCGCATCCAATTTAGGAACCTGCAGCCTATGAACACAAACCAACATACGATTCATGGTATGATACCTACGCATACAGTTGTGGTTGTTGTGGGTTTGAATACAATGAGCAGCGCTGTAGTTGGGTTTGAGCAAGGCCAGACACACAACCCAAGTTGCAATCCACACGCCCTTTGTTGTCCACCCTTCACGTGTCCTGTTTTTAATTTACGGCCCATCCACAATGCCACTTTTTTTGCGACGGTACGCAAGAGGCATCTCCTGTCGCAGAAAGTGATATTGTGAATGGGCCTATCGTCTTCAATGGATAAAAAAAGCAGCCATAAATTATTGAGATAACAAGGCGACAGGTCTGACGCTTGCCTAGACCAGTGACTGGTCATTGCGTGAAAGTCTTGAAGAAGAACAAAATTATCCCACATACAACCCTAAACATACTACTAGCGGTGCTAAACGAAAAGAGGAGAGGAAAGAATAATGTATGGGCAATCACCATGCACACAACGTAGCAATTGCCCAGCTAAGCAACGTATTGATGCCAAGCTGAGCGGTTTGACAGAAGCGTCTACAGGAAAAGCCTGGTCAGGACTGCGGTTCCGAGTGAAATGAGGCGTAATGAGCCTGTTCATATTATAGTGTAGAGAATGATGTATCTGCTCGGGCAACTGAACTTTGGCTGCCTGCCTCTATCAGACCAATTGCTCGCTTGGAGAGCAGAGAATGACCAGAGCTCAATATGTTTACTTTGACGAGTATCTGCAGAAATAAAGCGGAGGGTACGCACGAGAGAGAGAGAGAGAGAGAGAGAGAGAGAGAGAGAGAGAGCACACAGGTCCACATGCATGTACGCACAACAGACCTTGGATTTCACGATGCCTCATCATGGTGAACCTACTCTCAAAGAAGAGAATGAGGGAATTACCATCCACTAGTAGTACACGTTTGTGTCGAGGACTGCTGGTGCATTGCTAGCCCTGGTGCATGCTAGCCCTGGTGCATTGCTAGCCCTGGTGCATGCTAGCCCTGGTGCATGCTGAAACAGGAGTGCCATGTGACGTACACCATGCCAGTGTCCATCGCACTTACTCCAACAAAGCCATTAAACCGGTGACACGAAAGCAACACACAGAGAATCTGCATCAGCCCATCGCACTGCAGAGCTGCACATCAGCAGCCCTACGGCCACACGACTACCCTGACCAATAAGTTTCCTGTATCAGCATGCACACGGGCTTAGCCAGGAGCAGCCCCCGTAGTAAAAGGTGATTATGCCAAAATAACGTGAAACTAGACGTGGGAATAGTGGCTGTTGAATACTTGCTGACAAACGAATGGAAATATCGAATACAAGAGACATTTCCCAACCACGTATCACCGCCATGAGTTCGTGACTTCTACAGTAGAGTCGCGTGCTGAAGAACGTGGAGCCCAAGAACGTCCAGCCTGAAATTCTAAGAACACCACAGCCTAAAGCTAAGAACGGCGGTGTTGGTTTTCTGGCAGCTTGTAGGATACATATGATCCGCATATGATTGTTTCTAAGAACGTGCTATAAGAACGCAGCCAGATTGATGAAAAAATAAGAACGCCCCAGGCTAACCCTTTGGAAACAACGTTCTTAGGCGCGCGACTACTGTAGGCTAACAACTTTGTAACAGTGTAACACTACTTTATCGAATTTAGGGGGCATCCACATGATGACTGACCGGGGGGGGGGGGGGGGGGGGGCGTCAACATTATCACAATCCACGTTACTGCCGAAACAGCTTGCTGTCTACAGCATTTGGTTATCACACTTTACTAATTTCACCCGATTCCTACGAACTGACCTCGCTTCAACAGGCCTTGTCGACTGCTGCTTAGTCAAATCCGATCATGTGAATGCAGTCAGCAACCTGTACCGGTGCACAGCTCTGTGTGAGCAGGCTGCTGCGGCTGCACAGCGCCCGGTGACGCCGACTTTGCTCGCACGATGGGATTTCATTGAGAGGCAATATACACGGACCACATTCCCAAGGCTGCATGTGCCCTTGCATGTGTATAGGACAGGCTTTCAGAGCATCCACAATAAGCGCGTTGCGCATTGCCAAATATGGAAGGTATGAGTAATGCATGTGTGTGCACTGTACGGGGATCAGGAAAGCACTGTTTAATTTAACACCCCACACGACCATGCCCAGGTGGCTGTGTGGGGTGTTGACGGTGCAAATCACGTCATTTCGCAATGCGCTTATAACAAGAAACTAGTATTCCACCACCAGTGGCAGAAACACTGTGACATGCATGCTGACATTGGATACGCGGCATCCAGTGAGACAGTACAGTGTCACATGACGTGCCTCCAATAGACGTAAGATCTATACTTATTGTTAGATTGACAGCATGAAACAAGGTGGGGGACACTGTGTTCGGAAACAGTGGCCTTACTACAACCTTCCGCAGTTGGCAGATATGGTTTTGAACCAGTATTAGGTTATAATTATAATACCAAGATCTATTATCATTTCTAAGCACTCGCAGACTCCATTGCAGCCACTCGTACATTAGGGCACCTCAACTCAAACTTTCCAAATACGGTCTCTTCGCTGGACACGTCACCTCAAAATAAATAAATAATTGAATTCACCAAATTGATTATGTTGAATGTTTTCACCCTGAGGATGGGTCATGCCCGAAAATTAGGTGAATTCAATTATTTATTTATTTTCAAGTAAGGCCACACCAAGTTATTTCATTGTTTCTCGTCACCTGAAAATCTCAAAAGGAACGCGGGCGGGCGGAAAAAAAACAAAATAGGGTTTGAAAAACAAAAACTGCTATTTACACTACAAAGGCCCAATTTATGACCTAAAATCAGACTGCCGCAAGTTTACCGATGCCCGGAACACTGTCAGTCCAAAACGGTGCACTGTCATGCACTGTCTTGACTTGTACCGGAACTGTGTGTAGCAAAGAAGACGACCAGGTCGTGTGGTGGTGTGGTACTTGAACTACCGGTATGCGTACATACACGGTGCAAAAGTCGTCCTTCGGTTCGTGCACTAGCACTGCACTCCAGATTTGACGCCGCGCGTACTTTTACAACGCCTTTTTATGCGTGTTTACCGGGACGCGAGATTTTTTTTTGGTCCAATCCTCAAGAAAGGTACGCGCGCGGTGACGAGAAACAATGAAAAAACTTGGTGTGGCCTAACGTGTGCAGCGAAGAGACCGTGTTTAAAAGTATCAGAGTGTCTTGTACTAAAGCCTGTCTCATATAGACGCCTCTTTCGAATACAAGCCTGGTTTTCCATTATAAGCCTGGTTTTAGTGCTGATACACATAGAAATACCTGGTTTTAGTGCTGATACACATAGAAATACCTGGTTTTAGTGCTGATACACATAGAAATACCTTTTGTCTGAATAGAAGTCTGATGGCAAGAGTCCATAACGCCAAGAGTGTGCAACTCTGTACTGGGAGATCCGCGCGGCGGAATTCCAACATTACGTGAAAAATGACGTACACGTTTGTTGCGCTTGTACTACTCCCTGATGTTGGAATTCTGCCGCGCAGTGGGCCTACAGCAGCCACACCCCAGTTGCACACTCCTGGGGTCACGGACTCTTGCTGATGGGAATAGAAGCCTAACCATGAGACCGGCTTCTACAGGAATAGGCTCGGCTTTAATATGCGCGATTACGGGCACGTGGACAGACAGTTCACCGGGGTACGTACACAAGAGTTTGGGCAACACATGGCCGAAGAAGTTGTTCAGATCTCTGGAGTGTCTGCCGCCTTGTGATGCGGGTAGATGTACTGCGGCTTGTCCACTTCATCAAATATCATCATGTAGTCGACCAGCTGTCGCAGCGTGAACATATGCTCAGCCTCGTGGTCCTCGATGCTCATATCTGCAGTTTGTAGCGATGCGTGTACCGACACACACACACACACACACACACACACACACACACACACACACACACACACACACACAAGGAGCATACACACACACACACACACACACACGCACACACTGAGTTTGTATTGAGATTTGAATGGCAAATTTGTATTAGGTGGCAAACCATACAACCAGTGCTAGATTAGTATGGCAAGTGAGATGTAACGAAATATGGATTTGCCACTTTATACAAAATAGGGTCACATGTTGACATTAGACACCCTTAGCAAACAACGGTAACGCTTTTTGTTACGGTACTCGTACCTTGATCACCCAAATAGCGTTGAAGCTGCAGCGTATAAACGTTATGGGGGCTGATTTATCGTTGTTACCAACGGTACGTGTTTTGGCCAAATATTGCATAGTCCGTACGCATTTCACCTTGTATCACGTATATGGTGACAAAAATGGTTGTACCTCGCGAAATCAAAGCTATTCTCGTGGCAACAGCGTACTAAAAATAGCGTGCATCTTGCTAAAAGTCGAACCCAAATCACGGTATTTTCCCCCTTAAATACGATAATACCGTTACAACATAACGTTTTTTTGCTAAGGGTGTCTATTGGAGAGAGAGAGAGAGAGAGAGAGAGAGAGAGAGAGTTGTTTACCTCGATCATACACTTATTGTAATTAAAGACATACTGATCACGCCAAGAGATCTGCGGTACTGGAGCTAAATTTCAAACGCCACAACTCTCTTTATCCATTTCTCTCTGTCTCTCTCTCTGTCTCTCTCTCTCTCTCTCTCTCTCTCTCTCTCTCTCTCTCTCTCTCTCTCTCTCTCTCTCTCTCTCTCTCTCTCTCTCTCTCTCTGTCTGTCTGTCTGTCTGTCTGTCTGTCTGTCTGTCTCCATGTCTGTCTCTCTCTGTCTGTGTCTCTCTCTCTCTACTGAGTAGAGTTCCTGTACCTTATACAGGAACTGAGCACCCTCTGGGCAGTGCAGTTACATAATAATTATGTTTTAACCTCTGTGGGTCTGCATGTACCAAGTACACAACTTACGGAAGTGATCTTCAAACACCATAATGACCTCCACATGGTCCAGGCTGTCCAGCCCTAGGTCCTTCTTGAAATGCGCGTCAAGTGTCACCTGAACACACACACACACACACACATACACACACAAGTTTCAGACTGCAAAACTCTCCCACGTCTCTTCTACCTACAGCTTTTCTCCCCCCTTTTGGCCTGTATAGTGTGAACAGCATGCCCCGTTTACACACCCTTCTCAACTGATGCACATTCTATGTTCACGTCGGTGCAACCAGAAAGAGCTGCATCTTCACCTTGACACTGGACTCGACGGTGGAGGCGCTTCCGCGGACGTGGAAGACCGAGTCTGACTGACTTTCACGCGAGAATGTCATTAGCCGTATTTTGATTCTAATTTTGATAGAGGTTTGATGGAGTCTTTGACCACTTTGTGCTGGGTCTGATCTACTCACCTCCCACCGCTTTAGGAGCTGCATCTGCGCCTTCATCCAAGAGGGTGGCGGTGTTCCTGCGGATGCGGAAAACTCGGCCGAGTCTCACGCGAATTGTGAATTTTTCTTAACCTCTTTAGCGCGAGCGTCGTACTAGTACGACGCACATGAGTTGCATGCCCCACGGCCGTCGTACTAGTACGACGCGCGCTGTACACTGTACAGTGAACCTGCATCTCATAGTCGTGGGGTCCGTGTTGAGTCCATAGTGACTTGTTCAAACTATCGCAACTCACTCAATACTTGGTCGATTCTCACAATCGAAACATGTATCTGCAAGAGAAAACTCTCAGCTGGCGATAGAAACAATCGCTGAAGCGATGCGACTACCGGTTGTTGAGATATGCGACTCGACACGGCAAATTTCAACTCGATTTTTTTGCGCAGTCTGCAGAACGCGTATTTTCCATCATGGATCCTTTTTGCGCTACCTGCTGCCATGGAAACAAGATTCAAATGATGGTAGTGGATCCCGCGAGTCCTCACAAAAAATTTGAGCTCGATACGAGCAAGGAGACCGAAATGGCAGCTGAATATTTGAGCTTGATTAGTTTTGGCCGTGCTCAAGTCTGTCGAGCGCGTGGATGAAGTTTGCCAGACTGTAGCACGGGGTTTTGGTTTCGCTCCGAGCTGGGTTTGATACCAGTTTGTCCCTCGTCTCACGACCTTTCCAGGAAGCTCAAGATCGTGGAATTCGTCCAAGGGAAGGTAAAGTTATCGATCCTTGAGCAGCTAGTACTTTCATGGGAAAATGCGACTTTTACAGGTGTTGACGTGGGGCGCGCTCAGGTAGCGTCGTGCTAAAGAGGTTAATGGATTACACCTTTGAAAAGCACTGACCTGTATCTCTTCTGCTTATGCAGTGCCGCTGAATGAAATCCAGTCGCGTCACTCGAGTTTGTGCCTTGCATCATTTCGCAGCCCAGTGGCAGTGTTCGCAGGTTTAGGGCTGCGCAACGCCCGGCGCGTACTCGACGGTGGCGCGACTGGATTTCATTGAGCCGCCGCAGCGCTGTAGCACAGTGCCGGTGACTGAAATCCAACCCCTAGCGATGCGTTCACATTCTAGCCGTCTCTAGTTCGTAGTGCTACTATCCCGTGTTGGGTCTTTGCGATGCGAGCGCACCGCTCAGGGGATGGATTTCATTGAGCCATCGCAGTGCTGTTGGTTGGTTGGTTGGATTTATTTAAAGTCGTACAACAAACAGGCATATCTGCCTCCTTATATGAAGACGACTTCTGGCAGTAAAACATTTTAAAGAAAAGAGAAAAAAAAAGAAAAAGAAGAAGATAAGATCAAGAAAGTATAGACTGAGCATACAGCTAGCCTCGGCATGTATCAGAGCATCTGGATTACTACATACTAGTACTCAAGACAGGGGAGGGGGGTTGCTGTCACGCTACAGTAAGACAATACGCGTGCAACACACCCTTGAACTGGAGGGGGGGGGGGGGGGAGGACGTGTACTACCGGCGCGCACGGTACTATAGAGGGGATGGAAATGATTTCATGGCGGCGGGTTAGCGCAATCGCTAACAGGCGCTGAGTTTACAGCACGAATCACCGGAATCGCCTGTGGGCGCTATGTATGCAGCACGTGTCACTAGTGCATGTGCAGCGCGGTGTCTCGACTTTCCTTGGCCAACGCATGTCAGCTGATTATGTAATTGCATAACCCCTGTACACGTGCAGGCTTCTGGTTTATCTGCGCGGCAGCTACATGTGTATGTGTGTGTGTGTGTGTGTGCGCGCGCGCGCGCGCGCGGTATGTGTCGGTTTTATAGCAGCTAGTGTTGTGCCAAAGGCTGGCTGCAAGCACACCACGGCCAGCTCCCGGTGACTCCGTGTTGAACAGCACCAGCATGAACGCACACACAACAGCAGCATAGACACACACACACACACACACACACACACACACACACACACACACACACACACACACACACACACACACACACACCAGTAGTAGCAGCATAACACACACGCTCGGCGATCATTATGGGTCTGCCACCAGTCGATCCGAACCGACAACAAAAACTATGTTTACGCAGGCACAGAACTAGACAATATCATACCTTTTCGGGATCGACCTTGTCGAACGTTTTGAGCAAAAGAATGGCATGGAATTCGTAATCCGCGCGGCCGAAGGATTTCGAGCCTGCCTGGATGAAGTAGCTTCTTGTTGCGATATTCGTGCTTGCTCCTGATCCGCTGCCGGGCATCGCTGGAGCACTGCCTCCGAGTAGCTGGTGACGGCAGGGGCGATTCTGTCTCCCATAAGCCGTACGCCCATTCCAAACTGATGCTGGGGCGGCTGCTGTAGCTGTTGGTGGCTGCCGTCCACAGCTGAGTGTCCTGCTAGAAGGACTAGTACTACTGCTGGTGCTGCATCTGCTCGCCAACGCAGAGCGAAGCAGCAAGGAGCGGCAGAGGGCACCCGTCATCGCCATCTTCTCCTCAAACTCAACGACTGTATGGACTATGGGATTATACGGTTGCAATTCGTTGCTTCTTCATGAAGTCTTCCGTTAGCTAGTGCAAAGGACCTAGGGGCTAGTAGGGCCGCCTAGTGGGTAGGTCTTAGGTTCGCGAAGCCACTGAGTCTGTTCGGGGCCAAGGCAAACGGCAACCAGTCGTATGATCACTTGTCTTGATATAAAAAAGCAAGCTCCAACTACAAAAAATTATTAGACTCCTAACTCGAGTCGTGTCCTAGGCCTACATCATGTAGGGCTACGTAGATCTACTGACTGAGTCTGCAGTCTGTAGACTGTAGTATTGCATGGACTGGTAGTGGTAGTGTAGGCCCTGGCAAAACGGTTTCTCGTGTAGACTACTGCATGCACTGACTGACTACTGACAGTAGTGTCAGTACTGTACATCCCTCCACCGCGCCGCGCGGCTAGTTGATGCAGGCGGCGCGGTGTCCCGCGGCGGCGGCCCGGTCATCAAGTGCATGCATGCGAAAATATTAATATTTTTTTAGTTTTGACATTTTCTTCACCGTTTTAGATCTAGCGTCGCGTCTGCCGCCGTGCCGGCATCGGCGGCATGCCTTCTCTCCTCACTGGTGTTAACATGTTGCCTGTTGGGGCCTTTCGCTTTTCGCCTATGGCTTGTATAAAGCGATGTAGCATGATGGAAGGTGCTGTTCGGCGATCGCTCCGAGGCGCACTAGCGAAGATGCGAATAGTTTTCCGCATGATTGTTTAGCGCTGACGACGTCTTGCTCGCCAATCAATCCGATGCCGACACGAAGCCTCTCCATCAACAACACCACATGTATTTCTTTAAAAAAATAATCCTCTTATACGGGCAATCACAGAACATGATATCACTGACGTGACCTGAGCTTACACAACAACTAAAGAAAAAGAAAAAAACAAACAAACAAAATTAAAGAAAAAGAAAAGTTTTGTTTTTTGAGAAGAAGTAGCGACGACCCGGCCATTATGGACCCCAATAGTGGCAATACACCACTACTGGCACTAGCCCTTTCCCAAAGCCTCGGCAAAGGACTTAGGTGCTCGCCCTTTTTTTCGCCCTTTTTGACCCTTTTTGGAAAATCCCGTTTCTTTCGCCCTTTATTGCGTTTTTTGGTGAATATCGCCCTTTTTGAGCTTTTTGAGCTGAGAAAATGCTAAGATCTGTTTGCTCATGCATACGATCACAGTTTCCGAGTGCTCGATATCGCGATGGGCCTTGGCACGCCGCTTTTTTGGGGGTTAACACGCTGGTGAAGCTTGTACCCGGTGTACACAATGCTGTAAACAGTGGGTTTTTTGAACTTTTTACTTCCTGGTTTGCCTTTCTAGGACCCATAAATGGAAGAGTGCGTATTCATTTCTCATCTTGGGTTCATATCTAAACATGTATCATGGCTATGCTTCACTGAAAAAAGAGCACTTTTTGCCTGTTTTCACTGAAAAAAGAGCACTTTTTCAGCAAATTTCGAGGGACGCGAAAAGCACTAAGTGCGAATTAAAAGAGCACCTTTGGGAAAGGGCTATACACCACACTACCACATGATTGCGCTCTTGGCCGATCCAAACTCTGCACTCACATCACCATCACCACAGTGCGCTAGTGAGGTATATACATGTACATTATTATTATTCTTTATTTCCACGATGGCCCATGTAGATTGATATTGACAATGACCCTCCACAGGCTCCAGACAGCTGTTTCGCTCGGAGCCTCCTCCTGAGCTCATCAGTGGAGGCATTATTATGATGTTGAATGAAAGAATAATAAGAATAATAATAATACTGATCTTTATAGGGCTAAATTGGCGCAATTGCGCTCATTCTGCATAGAAACGTGGCATACCCCCGTGACAGAAGTGACAGAAGTGATAACAAGGTTAGGTGATAACGACACGCGCTCGTGGCCGGGGCAGGAACATAATAAGCACGTGTGAAAAGATCACGGTCGGGTCCACATTCTTATTATTCTTTCATATGCCTCCACTGATGAGCTCAGGAGAAGCGAAACAGCTGTCTGAAGGGTCATTGTCAATATCAATCTATATACAGTGGTCCCTCTATAATCCGGCAGTGGAGGGGAGGGAACTCTAAAAAACAACAAGTAACTGTAACTCCAAAGTGAAGAAGAGATTGGTGCGACTTCGGCGATAGTAGGGGAAGAGTGTGTTGCTCCCTACATTTGAGCTCGCGGTTTTCCTGCCGACTTGAATTCTCACTTGACTGACTTACGACTGCCATCCAGAGCACACGAGAAGTCCATCGAACCGTCCACTCGGCAAACCTGCAAGAAGGCACCACTCCCTGCTCAATACACAGTGTTTCACGGAATCAGTTGAGCTTCAGTAGGCTGAGGAAGATTGTGCCTGAAGAGCACCACTTATAGTGCTCTCCAGGCACAAACATCACCAGGGATACAAACTTACAGAGACGCTCCGTTTCCAGCGCGACAAACACCTCGTGAACACCAGATAGCAGCGTGAGTCAGTGTCGCTCATGGAGGTGCTGAACAAGTGCTGAGGACCGTTGGCCATTCACAACGTTGTTGCCTCCAAACCATCTAGTTCGCAAGCCCGCGCTGGGGACAACAATGGGAAGAAGAGGTTGGTGCGACTTCGGCTCAGCTTCACGCTCAACTGATGAGGGTATTGAGCAGGGAGTGGTGTCTTCTTGCA